TGCCCTGGGGCTTGGAAAAAGCAGATGAAATTTTATTAGACCAACAGGAATAGGCATTTTCTGTTTGAAGTAGAGTTGGGTAAACAGTCAGCTGAGAGGTGGTGAGCCCAAGCAGCCAGCTGGGAGGGAAGGACATTAGGCCAGATGAGGTCCGGACAGGAGCATTGTTTTTGACTTGGCTAGGGCTCCAGAGTGGTCTCAACAGGTCTTATTTCCATGGGAGTAGCTGGCAAGGGTTTCCTTCCCAGCAGCAGCTTGTGGCCTCTGTCGGCTTGGGTGCAGGTAGAAGGGAAAAACAAGATCAGGTTAAAATGGTGCTGGTGGGCAAGGTCTTGGTGGCCAGGATCATGGTGGCCCGGCCTATTCGAACCTTCTCCCCAGTATTATGTTGACGTGGATTAAGGGAGGGGAAAGGACAACAAACTGTTTTCTTTCCTGAGGTTAGGGATAGTGAGGGGTTTAAGGAGGCTCTTCATCACTGCTCAAGGGTAACCCAGTTTTGAAGGGAATTAACACCAAATAACATCACTGTCCATTAAAAGCAGGACCCCAAAGACAATAAGCAAACAAAAAAATATGTGAGGAAAGGACAAAACAAAACAAGAAAGTCCAGAAAAAAAAATTCAGCCCCCCTTCCTTCCAACTTTCTAAAACTGCTTCTGTTTCTGAGGGAACACACAGATTCCCACAACGTCTGTTCACTTGGAGGAGAAGGGAAACCATCCCAGAGGTCTGAGCCCGCCAGGCATCAAGTAAGGGCTGGAAGTCCATGAGCAAGGGCTGGATGTGGCCCCTGCTTGCCCTCAGCCTGCCTCTCCCCAGGCCAGTTTTGATTTCTGTTCCAAAGTACATGGGTCTTTATGTGTCATATTTCATTGTTGAGATCCAAGCGCCACATTTAAAATTTAGGCATATCTGTTGAAATAATACTCCAGCTAGAGTGAGAAGAAGAAAGCTGGGCTGTTTGCTTGGGAGCACTCACCCTTTTCTCACTGAATAGCAAAAATTCTAGGAGATCATGCCGAGGATTAGCAAGGGCCGTCCTTGGCAGGGGTGGGGTAGATTTAATGGAGAAGTGTAATATAATAGAAAGGAATGTGGGCTTTGGAGTCAGGCCTGGGTTCAAATCTCAGCTCTATCCCTTCCTTAGGGAGGGATAGCAGGCTAGTTACTTGTCTTATTGTGTTCTAAATTTCCTTAATGGTAAAATGGGTTATAATTACCTCATGGCATTGTGAAATTAATGTAAGTAAGCATTTAGGAAGCGCCTAGAATGTATAAGTGTTAGGCTTGCTATGCCCTTGCTACTGTGTTGGTTAAAAATGATATAATGACATATTTGCTATAGAATTATAAATACATGGGGGAAGACAGAGAGAGAGGAAAGAGTGACTGGACCCTTTGCAGGTGGCAGCCCCGAGTGGCCAGAGTAGATCTTTTGAAGGGCTCTCCCTCCTTTGCCACACTCTTACTCTCATCCTCCAAATCCAAATTCTCCTTCAGGCTCCCTGGAATCACACAAATGGCACCACAGTGGCAATAATGGCCCAAAGGATTCTGCCCTGCTCAGGGCAGAGGCCTAGTAAGTGGACTTTTTGCTACCCAGGCACCCATGACCTCTTCTGAAGGTCAAGGAGACATAGTTGCTCTTCTTCTTGGTCTGAGAAGAGGGACACTGGGAGAGAAGGCATCACCAGTCCTGTCCTTCACCCACAGATGTGATAGGACAGAAGCCCAAGGTCACCCCTGCTGCTTCAAAAAAAAAAAGATGGAGGGGCACCTGGGTGGCTCAGTTGGTTGAGTGTCTGACTCTTGGTTTCAGCTCAGGTCATTATCTCAGGGTTGTGGGATCAAGCCCCACATTGGGCTCTGTGCTTGGCATGGAGTCTGCTTATCCCTCTCCCTCTGCTCCCCTGCCCCAAATGAATAAATAAAATCTTAAAAGAAATGGAGGGCGCCTGGGTGGCTCAGTTGGTTAAGCGACTGCCTTCGGCTCAGGTCATCATCCTGGAGTCCCGGGATCGAGTCCCACATCAGGCTCCCTGCTCAGCAGGGAGTCTGCTTCTCCCTCTGACCCTCCTCCCTCTCATGCTCTCTGTCTCTCATTCTCTCTCGCAAATAAATAAAATCTTAAAAAAAAATTAAAAAAAAAAAAGGAACCTTGCTAGAGTCTGAGACAACTAGTATGATTTCCCTCAAGCCAAGTTTAATCAAAAATTTCCATGGCCAAGTGACTCTGCCAGGACATTATGCCAAGGACATTTCATATGTGAGATCTCATCCTTATAAAGGTCCTGTGAGGTCATAATCACTCCCATTTTGCAGCTGAGGAAATCAAGGCTCAAGCTAGAAAGTGGCAGATCCAAGACTTGCACTTAAAAGTGTCCAATGAAGCCCTACTGAGTGCCCCAGAATTATCCTTCCTCATTTCTTTTCGTGAAATACTCCCATCTTCTCAAAGCTCCTATTTCAGCTAGCCATTCTAACTAAAAGGTGGCCAACAGGCCACTTCTTAGTGAAGTGATAAAGACTGTAAATCACAAGTCGTTCCCCTCACTGCAACTCTAGACAAGGGCCTTGGAGGAAGCTAGAAGGTGAGCCAAGAAAGTGAATCTCAAGCGGTGGGATTTCACTGATTGTGGAAAACAATGGGAGGGGGCACAGGGTAATATCAAGCTGTAGTTTCTTCCTGGTGGCCATTTAATACGCAGTGGTAGTGCCTGTAACTTGCCTATTTGTAGGGTCATTCTGAATTCCTAGAATTATTCAAATAGCTCATTTAGTTTCTGATCCTGTTTTCCAAGTATCTTAGCAAGAAGTCTCCTTTACTTGTTCCACTTTAGAGTTGACAGGGAGCTTTGCTCTCACTTGATCTTCCTGCACTCCATTCCACAAGCAGGCCAACTGAGAATGTATGCTCAGACATGGCCTCTGGTTCTTGGCGTACAGGATCCTTGATGCCTTGCCCTCTCTTCCACCTCCATCCATTGATGTGAATTATCATCCAGGTGTTATACTGTGAGAATCAGAAGGTATGGCAGAGAGAAGACAAGTTTTTCAGGAGCAAAACGGTTAGGGTTTTGCTCAGGGATTAGACAGGGTACAGGTTATGGTTAATGCAGGGAGTACCCACTGGGGCCAGTCAGAACCCACAGTAGGGCTTTTAGCAGAGAAGCCTGAAGATAGGGAATTGGTTAAACATGTTTTAGAAAAAGGAAAAAGGGAGCACTGAGGTAACACAGAGGTAAGAATTGCATGAAGCAGCGGCCACTCCCAGGGCTGGGGAACAAAGGGAAGGGGTGAGGTTGATCCGAACCCTGAGCCTCGGAGGAGGTCTCCCAGAGCTGGGACTCAGACCTCTGAGGAGGGGGCTACCACCAGCTACAGATACCTCAGCAGCTCAGGGCTGAGGCTCTGGGGCTGGGAGGGATAAGGCTGCTTCTGAATGGGGCACAAAGAGGCAGGAGATTGGAACCAGGTGCCCCCTTCTGGGATGAGGGGCCAGCCAGTGTTGGGTTGATGCTAACAGGAACAAGAAGCGAACAGGAAGGAGAGTGTGGCATCTCCTGACTTCTACCTTGCAGTTTCCTTCTAGTGCCCCCTATTGGTAGAGTTGAATATAGAGCCACCTGGGGGACAAATGGGGTTGGCAGTGCTCCAGCCCCAGCATCACTGAGCAGAGTCTAAGGGGCTGGGTTTTGGAGCGGAGAAACAATGTCTTAAAGACCGGCACGTGGGGTGAATAATTATGTATGGTAGCCAGTAAATCACTAACTTAAAGGAGCTTCAAACATGGTGTTTGAAGAGTAAGAGACTGTCTAGTGCAGTGTTGCTACCTCCGTGTATCTGGGTACTTTCACTGTTGTGAATATTAACCATGGTGTGTGTGTGTGTGTGTTTAAGGATTAGGAAGGGGGCTTGGCCTTTTTCACGTCTGCAGGAGTCCACTCCATCATGCTGGGAATAAACACTATCACTCTCCTCTGAGTTAATGAGACTCCAAAATAAATGTTTTCCTTTAGATTACACCTTGTAATTTATGATTCAGCCCCAGAAAAGAAACTTTAGTGTATTGGGAAATGGGAAAAGAAGAGGGTGTACTCAAAGAAACTTAATGGGGGACAGAGCTGGAAGGATTTGGAATAAGGACAAACCCAATTGCCAGTAAACCTCAGCTAAGCTTCATGTCTCCAAATCTTAGAAGCAAGCTAATGGCTTACAGTTCTCTAGTCTTGCTTACATAGTTCCAGGAAGACAGGCAGCTCACAGCCCAGAAAGCTTAGTAACTGAACTTTACATAACACCTGGGAACATAAGAGAATATGTGTGGGGAAGTGATGATGGGGCCATTTGCAGGTTGAAGTTAGCGCCTGGAAATTGTTCATCACCTGCTCAGCAGGCAGAACCACTGGAAACTAAATTGATGGTGATTATGCAAGAGAGGTAAATGGGAGCAGAATAAACACCATGTGAAAGGCATTATAACTGTTGAATGAATTAGAACTGCGGGGCAACTTCGTGTTCCTTGCCTGGGTCTTGTTCAGCTCTCCCTCATCAAACCCTGGTTAAATGGGAGCCCACCACAAGAAGAACAAAGTGTAAAATTGCAAGTGCACTGTTTGATACACTCCCACATGGCACCAAAATAGATAAGTGTTGATCTCATCAACAACATTATCTGCTGGCTGTGTTGTCCCCTGGTACCGAAAATTATCAGCGATAGAGGGAAATCAGAGTAGCCAAAAAATTTTCCAAGTAGACTGTTCATCTCATTCTGTCTGAGGGATTCCTGTTGGCAGCACCTAAGGGTTAAAATAGGTGAAGGCATAATGAAATTCATTTAACAGAAAACTAAAGAGCTTGGGCTCTGGAGTCAGATGAACCTGGTTTCATTCTCTTTTCCCCTGCACTTACTGTGTGTCTGTGATCTTGAGCAAATGACTTATCTAAACCTCAGTGTCTTCATCTTTAAAGTGGGGATCATTCTGTTCCTTCTCTTGCAGTGCCTTTGTGAAGACCAAACGAGATGATGCAAATAACATGTTCAACAGAGTTCTTGGCGCAAAGTAAGTGCCCAAGAGATGTTGCTGTTCTATAATTATTATTATTGCTATTAATATTAGTACTCAATGAAAACTTACTATATACTAAGTGGAAGCCTCTACAGATAGAAAGATGAATTAGACCTACTCTCTGCTGCTAGAGAGCTCGCAACCTCTTGCAAAAAGGTGTTTGAGAGCCTTTATTGAGGGAAAATGGCCCAGCTCAGGTGGTGGTGTGGGGATTGGCCCTGGGGGATTTTCATGCGTAAGACAAACAGCAGGGCATGGGGAAGGAGAGCTGTGGATGTAAGGAGAAGGCTGAAAGCAGGAAGGGAGCCTGCGTGTGCAAGGGCTGACTGGAAGTGACCGAGGAAGTAGGAAGAGCTGATTTAGAGAGAACATCCTCTTCCTCTACCTTTGGCTCCCAGTCTTAGGAACCCACAGGACTGGATGAGTGTAAGGGACATTCTGCCTCTAACTCCCGACTTGGATAAATGGTGCAGTGCTATTGAGCGAACGACAGGGGCCCTGTTAGATGTCATTATGAAATGTGGTGAATTTGTGTCATATTGACAACCCTCTTGCTGTTAAATGGCTAGCCACTTATTACTGAAATTGATGATCAAGGAAAAAGTGTGAGATGGGTTGATTGCAAAATTGTTGGAAAGACCACGGCTGACAGAAACTACTCAATCCTTGGGTTAGGAATGAGCAGGTGGGCCTCCTCTGGGCCTGTCAGCAGACCTTGCTAGGTCCCTTATTCCTCATGACAAATAGGCTCTCAGTATCTCCCGTGAAGAGAAACAGGGTGGCCTGGTAAAAGGCCCCTTGAAAGATTTAAATGTGCTGTCTTGTAGGAGATGAAGGGTGGCGGGACCCTGAAGGCCATAGAGGAAACAGCTACATGCTGCCAAGATTTAATACACATACAGGTTATTTTGGGGGCCATCTAGACCTTCCCTGATAAAAGGAAATAAAGAATCTGTCAATTAAAAGAGTTATTAATTTTTCTGTCTTGCGACAGAATATTAAATCTCAGTTAACATATGTGTTTACCTGACTGGGTTTCTGTGCAATTGCTAGTGTTCAGCTCTCAGCACTCCCTTATCTTTAGTGAGTCCCTTGCAAATTTTGTGAGAACTTTTAGGGTTGATATGCAATCACTATTCTCTTCCATGTTATTACAGAAATTTGATAAACCACTGGATTTAAAAACCCCATGAAATGCCACCCCAGCAAAAGGGAGACCATGGCTTTTGGGGTATACATTTTCTTTTTTGTACAAACACATTTTTTTTTTCTTATATGGAGGCTGCTATTTTGGGTTGACATGTGCAAACAGACGAAAGAAAGCTTAATCTTAGGTTTAAAAAAAAAAAAAGCCACTAAATGGTTTATATTTTAGTGAGCCAGTAAAATCCAGAAGTTTTCCTTCTGGATAAAAACTCTTATTTCCAGAAATAAAAAAATTGGATCATTTTCCTTGTGTTCTCTCTAAATTGGTTTGGCTCTTGGAAAAGGAGTGGCATTTGTGAGGTTTATAGTAAATTCATTCATGGGACACTGGAGCCTGCTGTAAGATATCCCAGAGTCCATGCCATGAGGAAGCTATGGATGAAATACCTTATAATTCAGTCATTTTCAGATCTCATTTTAGTGCTGTGGTGACCAAAGCCCACTGAAAGGAGTTCATTAAGAGGCTTTTATAAACATATATGCTCCAGTGGCAGGTTTGCCCACAAAATGGAGAGATGTATCACAGAAAGTCAAGTTCTAGGATGACATTAAAATTCATTCAGCACATCACACAATTTTATCAAATATTTCCATTGGCCCTGTTTTGGATAACTTTGGATTCATTTATTTATTTATGGAGTAATTAGGCTTAATTGCAAATGTTTAAATACTAATTAAAAATTTAAAAAATTGTTTCCAGAAAGCAGTAGTTGATCTAAAAGAGGATGCTATCTCTAACATTAAGGAAAATGACTATGTTGGCTAGAACATCAAAAATTCACCCACTGCCAAGTATGCCTGGCTTAGAGCAGAGCTTTTTTAGGAAACTTACTGTCTCTGGTTCTTCTGATCATCTTCTCTCTCCTTTTTCTCCTCAAATGTCCTTTCTCTCCTGTCTAGAATGCCCTGTTGTGTCTCCCCTGAGGGTCTGGGTCCCTGGACTTGTCCATTTAAGTTAGTTTATTTTCCCTCAAATTTCTTCTGCTTAAAATCCTTTATTATGATAATCTGCTTCTCCATTGTTGGTCTATAAAAGTTCTGTTCCTTGGTATTGACGAGGTAGGGGATGGGCCTAGGTTGGACTTGGGAATGTAAAGATATGGATATAATGATAATAACAAAATCATGGTTATGACTACTACTTATTACTTCATTAATAGCAGCTTTATGGCAGCATTTGTACAATGGCAACTGAAAATACTCTGTATGTACATCAGTAGTGGGAATGATGAATATATTGGGGTGCACTTATACTGTGGAATGTGGTATGGCTCTTAAAATTAAGTTAGATATACATGTATTGACCAGAAAAGATGGCCAGATTTTTTTTAGTTTTTTTTGAAGGTTAATTTCAACATCATGTGTGTAGTATATATTAGAGTAAAAGAAAAGAAAATAGGGCGCCTGGGTGGCTCAGTTGGTTGAGCGACTGCCTTCGGCTCAGGCCATGATCCTGGAGTCCCTGGATCGAGTCCCGCATCAGGCTCCTTGCTCGGCGGGGAGTCTGCTTCTCCCTCTGACCCTCCCGACCCTCCCCCCTCTCATGCTCTCTCTCTGTCTCTCTCTCAAATAAATAAATAAAATCTTAAAAAAAGAAAAGAAAAGAAAATATCTTTAAATATGCATTTTTGTTTTATGAATTTGTATAAGTGCAGAGAATGGTGTGAAAAGATGCACACCACACTTTATATTGGCAACATCTGGGAATGAATAGAGGGCTGAGAAGAAGATTATGAACTTAAAAACTCATCTCTGTATTTTTTACTGGTTACAATAAGTGTGTAATTTTGTAATTAAAAATCCAATCAGGTTTAAGATGAAACCTAATATTTAATGAGTTCTTCCTATGGGAAATCACTACACTAGACTAATAGATTCTAAGAATCCTAATAACTCTGTAGGTAGGTACTGATACAGTTTCTACCTTATAGGTAAGGAAATTGAAGGCTAGAGAAGTACCCTGTCCAAGTTCACTGAGTGACAGAACATAATTTGTCATATATCCACGTGTCTGGAAACTGGAGATCATCTGAGGAGAGTTTAGGGGAAAGCACCAACAGACATGAAATTTTTATTTTCTCTTTAAAAATTTTAAGAATTATTTTAAATAAA